CTCACTTGGCCCCGCTTTGGCCTTGGGGCTGACTTTCCTGATCCTGATTTTCCTGCTGGCTTCAGAACAATTCTAGCTGCCAGCCCAGGGCCATGCAGGGAGGGAAGGGACAAGGGATGACAACGCAGCTCTGCTGGCACTGGGGCTGCTGGTATGGAGAGTGCTGCTGGGAGAAGGCAGACGCTCAGCCATGGTACTGGCATTACTGGTGCCACTGGGGGAGGGGTACAGTGTGCCAGTCTTGGGGGAGTGAGGGCTGGATTAAAAGGCAGCCTAGCAGCAAGCTGTGGGTCTCTATTGGAGTAAAGCAGGCCCTGGGACATCCCCGTGGGGCTGGTGGGTCTCAGCTGGTCCAGCTGTAAGCACTGTGGCCCCCAGCCCACACATGCTCCTGCATGCTGGGACAGTGGCTGCTGAGCAGCTGCCTTGGGGAGCCTTGAGTTCAGCTGCTCCCTCCCAACCCCAAAAAGCACCCTGGGGGCTCACAGCTCCCTGCCCAGGTGCCCCCGGGGCTGCCCTCAGTGCCTGCTCCAGGGGCAGCCCAGGCTGGAGCAGGGGGGATGCTGGTGGCCTCTCTCCAGGTGGAAGCAAGTGCCTGCGAGCGGCACTGCATCCTAGGGAGCTCGGGCTGCTGGTCCGATTGCCCTTGGCTGCCCCGCTGTAGGAATGTGCCAGAGGTCTCTACCTTCTCGTGATTTATTGCTATGACTGTGCCTTGAATAAAATTACTTCACCCAGCTGCTGCCTGGTGTCATCACCCAAGCGCGTCCTGCCCAGCACCAGGAGAGGGGGGACCCTTGGTGCTAGGGCCTGTGAAAATGCCCCAGCCCCTTTCCCACCTGTGAGGAGCTTTTGACCCTTCCTGGGGATGTCCTGCAGAGGCTTCAGTGGTGAGGAGGCTGCTCGGACACCTCCCCATCCCCAGGCACCTTGCCACCCACCACAGTCCCCACAAAAACAAACCTCAGCGAGTGGGCAGAAGCAGCAAAGGCGTGGAAGTGGCAGAACACCACTGTGTCCCCTCAGAGGGGCTGGCACAGCTCTTGGCACCATCCCTGACATTGGGGACAGGGTGCAGCCCTGGGACAGGCACGTGCCTCCCCTGCCAGTTCTTGCTGCACAGGCAGGGCTGTCTCAGGACACCACCAAAGGGACACACGCTGCCTGGAGGGAGGAGGATAGTTGCCTGGAGCTCCTCTGGGACCACAGCAAGGAGTGGAGACAGCAGGGGAACTCGTCCCAGCTGGGGATGGAGCAGATGTTCCCAAAGCTGAACTGCCCACCAGCAAGTCCTGAGGAGAGAGGTGAACACAGTTTTGGGAACCTCTTGGTTTTGAGCAGACAGCACTCTTCTTCTCCCCTCCTCCCTCCCAAAACACACTCTTTATATCTCAATTCCTATTTGAATGATTTGCCTCTGGTTTCAGCAGGTCGCTTCATGGCTTCCCTGGGTGAACCCTGCCCACTTACAGCACAGGGCAGGGGGCATGAGGAGGGCTTCCCTCTGGGTGAAAAACTGGAAAATTAGAAAACCCGCTTCTCTCATCACACGCCCCCACAGAGGGCCTGCATGGTTCGTAATTAGTGGTAAACAGGGCTCAATGCTGGTGCCAGGTTGCTGAGGCAGGAGCCCCGGGCTCCTGCAAAAGTCCCTCACAGCCAGGGCCGAGTGATTCCATGGTGTCTCCCACTGCGCTGGCCAGTGCTGGGAGCATCCCCACCGGGTAGGGGCCAAGGCAAAGGGGTGGTTTGTGGGAGCTGTGGCAAACCTCTGCGCTGGCGCAGGCAGTCAAAGATGGGGGTGCTGCCTGGGGAGCTGCACTTGCCCTTGCCCATGGCACTGGTGTCAGGCTCTCACCACCAGCCCTGAGGCTGGCAGCTGTGCTCCAGGCCAGGAAGAGTTGGAAAATTTATTTTAGCACTCGAAGCATAGGGAGGATTTCTTTGCTTTCAGATCTCTGCTGCTCTCCTCGCCTTTCACAGCCCACCGCATGTTGCCCTGCAGAACAAGACCCGTCCTAGAGGTTGCTCAAGGCAGAGCAGCGTGGCTTTCCCAGGATGCTCACCGTGCTTGCTGGTTGTTTTATTAAGAACATTTTTAACTATTTACACTCCTGGGGCAGGGCTGCTATTTCCAGCCCTCAGGAGATGCTATTACAGACCCTGAGCTGGCTTCCCCACTCTAGGGGACCATCCTTCTTCAGTGCCAAGTGCCCAGCACTCCCAGGGCTGGAAACCCACCAGATCAAAGTTAGGACATGCCCTGGGAAGGAAGAGACAGGACCTCCTGCATCCCCACCAGCTGCTCCGTGGGGCAGGGCTGCTGGGGCAGCTCCACAGCCCAGCTGGCAGGGTGGATGCCACACGGAGCCGGGCAGGACCTCGCTGTGAGGTTGTGCCCAGCTGCTGCAGGCAAACAGCAGTGGGTGACCAGCAGCGGGTGAACCAATGCTGTCTCCAAGAACAAAAGCAGCAGCTGAACAACAGAAAAGGGATTTTTAGGCTGATTGCTTAAAATTCTAATTCCATTAGCGATCGTTAAATTTGAAGGGTAATGAGCAATCAGCAGGAGGATGCCTTTGCTAGCCCCTCCACTGCTCACCCATTCGATTACAGTGCCCAAAAGCTCCCAACAGACCTTTGGTGCTGGATGCCTTCTCATGTCAATCAAGCTGGACTACACAAGCGCTCCCAGTGACCAGTATCTCCAAAGCTAGATCCGACAAGAAACCAGTAAACCCCTCTCTGTCACCTTTTCTTTCCCCCCACCTTGTTTGAGCCTTTTATATTAAAATAAACATAAGGCAGAAAAAAGGGCCAAGACTCACTGTTGTTCTTTATTAACAGTACAGCTGGGTACAAGAGGCACACAGACTAGTTCAGTTCTCTTGGGAGTTACACAAAACGTGGCACAGAAGAGGAGAATTCAGGGAGCTGGGAAAGCTAGAGGGAACGGGGATGGTTTGGGGGCAGTAACCCTCCCCCCCCCCCCCACTCACCATGCAGCTGCCTAGTTGTCACACAGAGTCAGAAGGTCCCATGATGCTGAAGGCTGATGCCCCAGAACAGGGTTGCAAAGAAGACATCCCCATTCCCACATCCTCCTGCCCCATACCATGTCTTTGCAGCTAGTGCCTCCCCCAGCTCTGGCTCCTCCATCCCTCACTGCCTGGTGTGAGAATGGGGAGGACATCACCTGGCCCAGCTGATGGAGAGAGCCATGGGCCAGGATGCACAACATCACGCTGTAGGAATGCAGGAGTGGAGCCTGGTACCTGGGGAGGACAGCACACATCCTACATGGGGATGTTTACTGCCCGTTCCACAACATCCCTCAGCTCCCCTTTCAAACACAGTTGGATGGCTGCTTCCTTGCTGGAAGCCCATGGCCACCATCAGGCCTGGTGGCAGGGAAGCAGAGCCTCATCTCACAGGGCACCCCATCATCCCCTCCATGGCATGGGGCTAGGAGACCTCAGCTGCAGCTGCAAGGAGCAGGAAGCCCTCTCTTGCCCCAGAGTGGAGGATATCTGAATATAGGAGGAACATGTCCCCTCTACAACAGGACCATCTTAGCCCTCAACGCTGGGCTCCTCCTGCCCTGAGGGAGCAGCAAAAAATGGTGCTGCTTGTAACTGAGTACTTGCTCCATATCCTTGCCCTGGGGCTGGCGATGGCTGGAAATATGGTTCTGCCTATCCCACAGCGACTTCCCCATAGAGATGAACTCTTCTTCAAAGTGCTCAAGTTCAGCTGCCCGCAGAGCCCTCAGGTGCTGCATCTCAGCCATGTTCTGGGATTTCTTCCTGCAGATGCTGTCTTCTCACTCCTGCCCTGACAACAGCACTGCTGCATGCTCCTAACTGGGTGTCTCACTCTGCTCTGAAGCGGCTGTGTCTCAAGTATGGCTGAGAGGGATTACTAAAGGCTGAGGAGCTCTGCAGATGGGCACTGTGTGCAGCTGGGAAGCACTCCAGGTCCTGACAGCATCAGCAGAGAAATTCCAGCCATGCTTCCTCTGGACAAGTGCCAGAATGATTTCTGGAAGCTGTTGCCATGACATGATTGCAACCTTCATTTTTATTTTAAGACATCTTTTCCTTGTATTTACTTTATTCTCCTTAACATAAAGCAGTAAGGAGCCACCACTGCTGCTGCCTTTCAGCTGGCTCTGAGGTTAAAACAACCAGCCAAACCAACACAAAGCCTTTCAGCTGGCAGCCCAGACCTGCAAAAAGCAGCCTCACCTTGGGATTAACGTGACTCCATTGCTTGAAGCATCCCTAGGAAACACACTGGGCTGTGGCCAACCTGACACGAGGAAAAGCCATGGATCTCATCCAGGGGAGAGGCAAGGCAGAAGAGAGCACCAGGATTAACCATCCGGTAGTGACATGTGGGATAAGGGAGAGAAGGCGAAAGCTCCCTGCACGGTTTGGGGAGAACAGCCACACGGCGCAGCCAGCTCCCACCTCTTCTGCCCCTGCCCCTGGAGGGAGCCAAGTCCACCATTGCCACAGCTGAACCGGGTGCAGCAGAGCAGGAGGAGTGAATGGCGCCAGACCTGGCAGGTCTTGAGCGCGGCAGATACGATCTCGGGCGAATAAGCCCGAGAGGCCCAAGCTAGCTGTCATCTAACTAGGGTGGGTAGCAAGAGGAGGGAAGATGAGCCAGCTACAAACCAGAGTAGGTACATGGGTGTTGGTGCTCCCGCTAGCCCAAAGGAACTTGGGGCAGGGCAGCATACCTGTGCTGCGGCACTCCTAGGCTTCGCTGCAGAGACGTGCCCTGCCAGCCCTTACCTAGCAAAGGCAGAGATGTGGTCGTGTCGAAGCGAGGCAGAACCACTGGGAGAGCCCCGAAGCACGTGTGACTGGAGGAGAGAGCGATGGGCTGGTGCACAGAGAAAGACAGAGCTGGAGAGAGGCAGAGAGTGTGGTGTGAGCGCTGCCCCTGCCCAGGACTGCTGCGTGGTCAGGGATGGGGATGGCTGGCAGGATCTAGTCCCCTTCCGGAAGGGTCTCCCAGCCACGTCGCATGGCTTTCACCACAGCACCGTAGAGTTTGCTCCAAGCCTCCTGCACATCTGGGCTGAAGGCAGTGCCAAGGCATTTCTCCAGCATGAACAGCAAGGACTCGCCGACAGTCTGCAAACCAAACAGGGAGGCATCAAGCTCAGCACTGGGGGATGACACACAGCCCCTTCTCTTGCTTCATTGCCTTTCTGAACAACATCTGCAGGGCAGCTGCTCCTCTGCCAGCGGGGCGGGGTCACCCTCACCCCTGGGTGTTCAAAGGAAGCCTGGAGCCAACCCACACCATCCTCTTCCCCCGCCCTGTGCTGGCCCTCACCCCACACCCCACATCCTGGATGAGCAGAGAGTGCAGGTGGGAGCAAGGGCTGACACTGCACATGCAATAGAAGGGGAGGGTACGCGTCCATCCTCCATGGCTCCCGCATGCAGGTAGGCAGCACCATTCCCTGGCATGGCAGCGGAGCGGCATTGCTGAGCAGTGTGACCTGATGCCAGGAGAGCGGGTCAGGCAGGCCTCAGGCTGGAGGCTCAGGGTCTGCCTCGCTGCCGCTCGCGCCTCTCCACAGGGCACTGCTCCTCACCGGGCTGTGAGCAGCCCCACCCAGGAGCACCCACACGCTGAGCGCAGGGCTGGTGGGGATCACCACCCCAAGCAAAGGGGACTCTGCTCCCTCTGAAGAGGACCAAAGCTAGTGGTATCAGGAGGGAGCCATGGGTGGGTTAGAAAACTTTCCTTCAACCTGCCTTTCCTCACTCCGTTATTCAGCATTTATGTCCATGCTTGATGGCAGGAGAGGAGTAAGGAAGGGTTTAATACGGATGATGCTCCTGTCTTACTGTCATGGAGGAAGCAGGGGCTGAGGTGCAGCAACCCCGTCCCAGTGTAGACACAGAGAGAGGTGGATGGTCCCTCTCCCAGGTGTGGTGAGGTTTGCTCAGAGCATTTGATGCAGAGGCCCAAGGCTCAGGGCAAAGGCCGAGCCTGCAGCCCCATGTTGTGCAGTGACTGCAGTGCCCAAATCCTGGTCCTCTTCACACAGGAGAAATGCCTTGCTCCCTCTGTTCTCTCCCCTTGGGCTTACTGGGGGAGGGCAGGAAACGAGGGGAGCTCAAGGATTTCTCTGATCTAGCCAGCATCACCATGCAGGTATCAGCAGCTCAGGGGCTGCCCTGAGCCACCAGTTTTCTCTCCAGCCAGCTGAACCCAGCAGGCGGGCACAGAGGGATGGGGACAGCCGAGGGTGGCAGGCAGGGCTGCACAAACACAACCGCAATGGGACAAGACGTCTCACCGAGAAAGACTCGACCTTCACACCGACTGCCTGGTGCTTCTTGCCAAGGTTGCAGAGATACCCTTCCAGGCAGGACAAGTTGTCCAGGTGGCTCACAGCAGCATCGATCACCAGCATCACCTGCAGGAGCATGGAGGCAGAACGGTGTTAACAGCAAGGCTCTGCTGCCCTCCCAGAGGAGCAAAGTCTGACCCCTCTACTTCACCCACCTCAGCCTGGCCACCTCCCAGCCCAGCAGATGCTCTCTGAGCTTTACTTTGCTCCGTGTGTCACATCAGTGAGGCACACAAGCAGCAGCATACACCACATCCTTCCATGGGACATTGCCAGAGGTGCCACAGCAAGCAGCACTGCTGGCCTCCCTGTCCCAGAGAGGGTAAACAGCCCTATAGCAGAGCAGTTAGGGGCTACAATCTAATGCCGATGCAGTCATTACAGCTCTTAGGAACCCAGGACAACTGCAGGGGAGCCCTGGAAGTTACCAGGACTAGAATTTCCAAGTAGAAGTTGCCAAGATGGTGCAATTGCAAATAAGGCAACTCCAATTCTAAGATCAGCCAAGGTATTTTGAGGAGATGGGGTGGATAGTACAGCCAAGATACCCGGTCTGGTAAAGCACGTACCAGTGTTGTCTCCCAGGAGCATGAAGAGTCAAATGGAAACAGGATAGAGAAGGGTTAATGAGGGATGAAGGGAACAGACACACCAAATTAGAAGAAGAGATTAAAGCCAGGGCATGGTTAGCTTGGCAAAGCCAAGAGGTGATAGAATTGTGCTCTATAATTTCAACAGGGGAATTATCTCCAACAAGAGCAAAGAGCTATTTCAGCTCAAGGCAATAATAGCAGAAGTAAAAATGGACTTAACTTTGCGAGTAAACAGAGGCTGGAAAATCACAAAAAGCTTGCAGCTATCAGCAGAGCGCAGTCCTGAAACAGCCTCTTACGAGGAATAAAGATGGGCAAGCAAGGCACCAAACTGGTTTAAAGATGGAGCCAGACAGTTTATGAAGGCATCTACAAGACAAGTCCTCTGCCCGACATGGCTGCTCTTCAGGACTCAGCAAAGGGTCTCTGCTGCACCGCACGTAGATCTGTCCATGCACGAGTTCCTCCAGATGACATCAGCATTGCTCCTCTCCCTATTTCAGGGGAGGCAGATATGTATCACAGCACCCCCCTAGAGGCTATCTGAGAATGCTGTGGGCCTTCTGGCTCTGCAGCCACACCAACAGCCTCTCCACAGCAGTGGGTCCACAGGAGCCTGGCTCACTACCCAGTTCCGTGCCACCTCCTGGTCAGCAAGTGGCCAAGCAGAGGGCTTCAGTCCTTGTCTGGACAGAAGTGAGCTCACTGAGGCACTTCCATGGTAAAAGAATGGGGCTTCCAACTTTCAACAAGAGGCAGTCCACTATCAGATGAGGGCGTGGAAATCAGCATGGTGCTTCTTACCCACCACGACTTGCATCCTCATCGCCTCTCCACTGTTGTAGGGCACTTTGTCCCGGCAATAGCACCTTCTGCTAGCATGAGTAACCCCCTGCAGTCGTCATCGCAGGAGGAGACTTCCCACACGGTCCTCAGTCAGACACCCCACAGTCCCAAGCCACGGCCTAAGAGCTTCCTCCTCCGCAGAGGCTGCTCTCTGGCCATGGCCCAGCCCCTCTCTCACCTTTCTGATGTGATCCAGGAACTCAGGGGCAGAGAGGCACTCCTGAGGGCTGGAAAACTGCTTGCAGTTGTACTGGAAAAGGGGCAATAGGTCAGGGTCCAAGTCAAACAACCTGCAACAGCAAGAGAGAAACCCCATCTTCTCACTTTCTCAGCTTTATTCAGAGCCCTGCTCACTCCAGGAACCACCTCACCAGCAGCACACCCACAGTCCTCCTCTGTCTCTCTACCCACCTACTGATCTCCCCTTACCTGTAGAGGACCCAGAAGTTGTGAAAAGTCTTAGTTTGGGGCAATCCAGGTTACCTATAGTCAAAAAAGTTTCCATTTCCCTAGCCCACAGACCCGGTTCTCAGATACATGTTTATGGCACCTTAGGACCAGTCCCAGCTCGCTGGAGTTCCTCCTAGCCTGGCCCTTCTCCTCTTGGTTGTTGTCTCAACTCTTCCCATTCCCACTTCATGATCCCCTTGAGCCTGCAAGCTCCAGGAGCCATCTTTCCTACTTGAGCAAAGGGGAGATGTACAGACTCAGCTAACGCCCAGCTCTCCAACACCACTGCCAGCTCCCATTTTCTGTCCCCCGATCCTGCCTGCCAGCTTATGCCAGGCACATACGGGTCTCAGTAGCAGCCATCCAGGCAGATCTAACGGGCAGATGCTGTCCATGGAGGCCACAGAGAATTCAGGCAAAACGGTCTCTCTTCTCCCTGTCCTGCACATTGAAGTACTGCATCTCTCTCCCTTCCAGTAACACTCCCAAACGTTGCTCGCAGCCTTGCTCTGCAAGGTTTGGCTCCCTTCTGCTACGTCCCACTCCAGAACTTGGTCATCAACTCTCTGTCCTTTTTAAATGACTTTTCATAGATTTTTCCTTTTTATCTTCCCATAATCTAGACATTAATCCGCTCAGGAGAGGTAAGGAGTTAGGTTTCAGCCATTCCCCCGGCACACCACTCCTTCTGCCCTAAAGCTGAATCCCTTCCCAGCGCCCAGCTCTTTGCCCAGGGCTGGAGAGCGCCGTGTCAGGGACAATTAGGAGGTCCCTTCGATACAATCCCCAGAGTTGGGTGGACACGCAGCTCTTCGAACAACAGAAATAACGGTGACAAGGTGGGAGATCAGTGGGCAGAAACGCACAAAACCTGTCCGCTGCCTCTCTTCCTCACCCTCCATCTCCCCGTAACAAAGTTGAGACTCGTGGAGGAGAGGGAAGGCCGGGAAGGAGCGGATGGCCT